AATGGAGCATACAACAGATATTCTTTCTTTTTTGGTAGATCATACTCGACTAGAAAATAAATACTAATTTAATCAAATTTTAAACTCGTAAAATTTCCAAAAATTTCGATACTTACCATCACTTTTTATACGTCGTAACAAGAAGGGTTTTAAGATTTTATGCAAATTACTTACGACTTCGTTTGACTGTTCTCTTGCTAGAATCTGAGTTTCCCCATCTTGCTCATGAAGAGCAGAAAAGTCAAACCTGTATATAGTTGTAATTTAATACAATAAATTACAAGCCTTGTCTAATGGGTTGAAAAAATTGCCGACTTACCAGTCTTGAAAACTATCTAAATCATCAAATATATCGGGTAGAAGAAAATTTAAAAGGCTCCATAACTCTGCGAGATTGTTCTGATTATTAATAAAAAGTTAACATAATGTATTATATAAAATAAACGCAACCGTTCATTCGTGAGAAGCGCTTGCGAACGAACTTAAAAAGTAAATACTTGTAGTGGTGTTCCCGTTAGAAGTAAACGATTCGCGGATTGATAAGTCTTAAGTTCTCGGATAAGTTTACAATTTAAATTCTTAATTCTATGTCCTTCATCGACAACAATATATTTCCAGGCGAATTTCTAAATAAATATTATATTTAATACGACTGTCCTAATACTTTTTTTTTTTGTAGAATTTTCAAAACTACCTGAAGGTACTTGCGATCATTCATCGCAATTTCATAGCTCGTAACCACAATTGGAAAAGTGTGATCTAACTTTTTTAACTTCCTGCTTCTAATATGTGCCCTTTGTTCAGGTGTACCATGGTATAACACACAAGGTATTGTTGGTGTAAACCTAGATATGTAAGCCAAATAAAAGAATGTGATTTCATAAATACGTGAAAAACTATAATTTTTATTTTTGATTTAACATGAACATACCTATGAATTTCACTGATCCAATTTGTGGTTAGGAGCTATGAAATTGCGATGAATGATCGCAAGTACCTTCAGGTAG